ATCTATACCATAAATAAAAGGCACCACCATACAATTAGAATGACTATCTGAGGGAAGAACTGTCTCAGGCAATTTATAGCAACTAAGTAGTTTCAAACCTCCACAGGAAAATTAGCGATAAGCTATAAGTAAGCTGTATGGCTACATACATTTTCTGAGAAAGAAAACACCTTTCACTTTCAGTTTTGTGTATGGCTCCGTGTTTCAGTGTGTCACAAACAAATCTATTTTGGACTATAAGCTCAAGTTTACCAAGATGAATGATTTCTTTCAACTCTACTCAACTAAGTATAGTGAAAAATTAGAAACTTTCCTTCTAAAAATGTTTCAGTTCCAGCTGGCCACTTGCTTCATTTGAGTTTCTCATACTTTGCCCTTTCTTGGCATTAACCTAACCAAAACCTTTGATTCCTTATACAATGCCAACGACCCTGCAATGCGGTCTTAACTAACGAATCTTCTGATCACTTGGAGCAAACATAAAATCTCCTGGTTAAGAAGGATAGTGCCAATTAAAATGTGATTCTTGCCTAACATCTATTAGCTTTTCACAGTCCTACCAGTTAAGGTCATATTGTTTTATCTATGTATACTCCAGAGGAAAGTACTAAAATGTATCTGGGAATCTGGAAAACAGATTACTTAAACTACTATGCACCAGCACAGACTGCATGAAGGTCTGGGGTTACCAAAGTTTTCTAAATACTATTTTGAAACCTAACTGGCACAGCTAGCCACATTTCATGCAGACTGGGAAACCCCAATGTGGGTTAGCTTTGAGGACATGGACTGTGACCCTCTAACCACTGCTAATATTTTATGGCTACATCTTAAAGACAGCTTGAGCCTCCCAAATCCCTTTTTGTCTTACAAAAAAGGCTTGATCTCCGCACAATTTCTTTTAATTTCCTTTCTTTGAAATTCCTCCTCTCCTAATTCATTTACGACATGGAAAAATTTGGTATCTGGATTTTTACAACTCATGAGCACCAATGGCGTCCAGCCCATTCAGGCTTTAGTGGAGGAATTTGGCCTACCTAACAATGACATTTGTAGGTACCTACAAGTCATGTATTTTATTTTTTCAGCCAGGGTCCCCGTTCGTAAGAATACATTCTACGACCGCAGGCATATGACCTGTGGTCCACAATAGAACACCCCTTCCCCTAACTTCACATACTCCTTCCTACCTTCATCCTTCATATGAGGGCATTCTTCTGCCATTGACCATCGACATAAGGGGCATTCTTTCTTCTATTGATTACTTTGCATAAAGGGGCATTCTCATTCCTATCAGCATAATAGCATTTCTTCACATTTTAACCAGAGTAGGCTAGAGGCAGTGGCATAACTACCACCATAGCAACCCACTGGAACTCCTACTGACCACCCACATAAAGGGGCATTCCTCTTCCTACTGACCACACACATTAGGGAGTATTCTCCCTTCTAATGATCATATACATAAGGGAGGAGTCTTGCGTCTACTGACCACCCATGTATGGGGACATTCTTCCTTCTATTGATTACCCGCATAAAGGGGCATTCCCGTTCCTACTGACCACACATATAAGAAAGCATGCTTCTTCCTTCTGAACACCAATGTAAAGGTGTATTCTTTCTCACACTAACTATCAAGGCAAGAGAACATTTGTTGTCATATTGCCCACAAGTGTAAATGGGTATTGAAAACAAAATTTGTTATGGTAGAATATAAAATATGCTATAGCTCAGGGACTGTGCCACATGGCTGATAATTAGGGTGTTGTTCAATGGTGTCTTTTTCTGTTTGGTGAGAAGCCCATAAAAACTTTGCTATGGAACCTGTTAGTTCTAGTTACACCCCTGCTTAGAAGGGGAACTCTGTGTTGCCTTTAGCCACTCCTATGTTTGCCTGTGTCTCACATATCTAATTACAGATTATTATGTAAAGAATCCTGTTTTAACAAGCCAACAGCTACATTTTGCTGAAGGTTAATACTAGTTTATGCCTGGTTTTTCTTTCTTTAGCCTACTATACTGATATAGAACACAGGTCACTACAAAAGTTTTAGTGCAGCAAAAGAATATAAGAATATTTTTTTGAACCAGAGTAAAGGTGCCCATACACTGCATGATTCTCGTACGAGAATCGTGGGAAATCCCGCGATCGTACGATAATCGCGCAGTGTATGGAAGGCGTGCGACCATTTCTACTGTATGGTCGCACGTCTTCCGTCGAACAAGCAGGCTGGAAAACCCGCCGGGAATCGTACGATTCTCGGTGAGTTAGTGCCGAACCGGCCGGTGTGCGCACACTGCCCGCTTGCAGTCATCAGAAGCCCACCCCTCATTGCAGTCATCGCAAGCCCGCCCCTCAGGGGGGCAGGCTTGCGATGATCGCAAGTAGGATCTGCCTGTCCAAGATGGGCAGATCATACATTTTTTAAAGTACTTTACAACCCTCGCAAGACTAAAGTCTTGCGAGGGTTGTAAAGTGTATGGGCACCTTAAATGTTTTTCTGGAAGGAACTACCTATATTTCTTATGCAACCCTGTTAGATATCAAGGACAAACAAATGTAAAAACTATGATCCAGCTTTGCCTGTTTCCCCGCATACAGCTGATGAGAATTTGTAACTTAACTGGCAGTATTAAGTGAGCATTTTGAAAGTCTGTGTTTGGAGGAGAAAATCATACCCACATTCCTAAGCCATCTGGTCCTCTTAAGATCCATCTGGACTCATTAGGAATAAGGCAAAAAAAGACAATATGTGGTACAATATGTGGATGAATGACATCACAGGGAAGTCAAGTGCTTGAAAGCAGTAAAACAAGCTACATTTAAAAAAAAGCACACACTGGGGCAAAAAGAACTAGATGAAGTACCTGCAAAATATTTTATTTGGTACCATTCCCATATATATGGAAACCAATCAACACTCTGTCTAAGGTTATGAAAGATAAAATGAATGGGGGTATCCTGAAAATACATGCCCGATTTACTGGTAAAAAAAAATGGTACCTAAAGCATTTTATTTTTAATTAGGAGATCTCAAAAAGCAGAAAAAACTGTTCTGATAAAGCCCAACATCACTTTAAGGTCACATCTGTCAAAAAAGAGCACCAATAAGTTAGCAGGCATTCCAGGTGCCTGTTAGCATTTAAAAAGTTCAGCAACCTCAGTTCACAATGCATTAAAGTGCAACTGAAGCCAAATCTCAAATGGCAAAAAAAAAGCCTACAAGGATTATACCCCCTCTTCTACACTAACCAAATAAAACCTATAACTTTTGGATTCAGTGTCTCTCCTCTTCTCCCCGGCCGAAGATCCCTACTGCACATGCGCCCGCCCCATGATCCTTTACGGCTGCTCGAGAATCTTCAGATGGGAGCGAGCGGTGGAGACTGCGACGGTGATGGGGGATTTGAGTCTGAATATTGCAAAATAGAATTTGTTTGTGCCCCAGTTCAGAGCACCTGCAGGTCTTCATTTAGTGATGTGACAGGCCCCCACCACATTCCACAGAAGAGATTGCTCTCTGGACATGATCTTTTATTGCCCAGTCCGAGTGACATTCCAACATATCTCTGTAAGCTTTTATGGCGGTCATTAATTAAAAGGCATGGCACCACACATTCATATATTAGGATTGGACAGTTTATATCAACAATCAGGTCTGGAGAGGGGGTGACCCAGGTGACCTCACATTCTCTCTAAAAATCATAAAACCTGAGGTTGAAAATCAAGCTACATGTTTTATACTTTGGAATTTGGGCGGTGACAGGTAAACTAAAGGTTCATCCTCCGCCCGTTTGCCCGCCCACCCCTGCCTAGGGGCTGGCTCCGGGACACCCTCTAAAATATTTACCTATTTGGTAACTTTTTTTTTGTTTTTGCATATATATCAACTGCTTGCTAGCAGTAGATATATGCAACCCCCCCCCTCCCGAGTGTTTAATTCTACTTTAAGGGACAATTCACATATACTGTGATGACCTGCATTTTACTGCACCTGTCGGAGATGGCAAAACACACTAGACCATCTGCTAAAAACACAGGCAGGCTAGTGTGAATAGGCCCTAACGATATGTCAAGTGCTTTAAATATTCAAAATGGAGTGATTAGGGTATCAGCTACCTGTAAGTGAACAAAATAAGGGAAAGTTAAAAAGAGTTAAGGTGGGTAAGACGGGGGACATGGTTGGTGGGGCTTTCTAGGCATGCCCAGATTTAAATAATGAGATATCAGATGATGGGGCATGGGGATGGAGAGAGGAGGGAATAAAGGAGCGTTGGGAACATAGGGACTGGCCATACAATGCCCCGGCTGCAGAGGGGGGCACTGGAAGCAGCGGATCCATGCAGAGGCAGCAGCAGAGTCACAGCAGGGCCACAGGGGAGCAATGAAGCTGCAGCGGGGGCACCGGGGAGCAATGGAGATGCAGCGGGGGCACAATGGAGACGCAGCAGGGGCATGGGGGAGCAATGGAGACGCAGTGTGGGCACAGGGGGAATACAGAGGACCTGCAGCTGACAGGGTGGCGGTTGCAGCAGTCAGTGTCCCCTATAGGTTGGAGGAGGAGAACGGTGGAGTAGAGCAATGGCGGCAGCAACTAATTGAAAACCAACTAAATCGATAATGAGAATCGTTGACAATGATTCTCATTATCCATTATCATCAATTAGTTGTTGCAGCCCTACAACATACCATATAAAATCAAAGAATAATCCATAGGCTACCTAACAGCAGAACATGAACAAGTACAGGTTTCTTACATAACAGTTTGAAAAGCAATTCTTGTATTTATGTTGTATAAAAAATATTACTATCTTAATTAAACCATAAAAATATATGATCATAAAATGATCATATGTGGTAATATGTATTATATTGTTCTTACCCACGGAAGCACTGGGAATCAATACAAGGTCAAAATAATAATACTGGTACAATAACTTTCAAATGTCTAAAAATTAAATGTTTATAAACTTTACAGGCAAGCAAATGAAAGACTCACCAATCCAACAGGCCGTTACTTGTACCACTATTTGGCTGCATGATATGGTTTGCTTGTGGTCACGACTTAACGAGAACCTGCCGATGCCATGAAGTTAAACAGATGTTAATTTCTTTGTTTGATTGTGACCAGTATCTTCCGATTTAAAAGCTAAAGAAAATGACAATCTGACTCAGTGTAGAACAAAGACTGAAGTTCAGATTGTGTGTAAATTCCCCTTATCATATAGATAAGATGCACTATGGTTATTGCTTTAAAATAAAAAAGCCACAAACGCTTGTTTCACAGGCCTACGTGAAACAAAAATGCCACAAGTTCACAGGCCGGTATTGCAATGTCTCATTGCAAGAATCCTTTGGCACAGAAAGAGTGGAATGCTATTCCAAATGAGCAGCCTCTCCTTATGAAAGCATGAAGAGGTACAACAGTGCAGTTGTCAGCAGTGCTAATCATATAGGCAAAGCCTCTTTTCATCTGCACACCTAGGTGACCGCTGCACTAGGATTAGCTGTTGCCGCATTTAGTACAGTAAAGAGTTTATCTTCATTGTGTTTAGTGGATGATTGTGAAGACATTCCTCCTCTGTAAATGTTCTCTCTGTACAACGACAGCACAATGTCTCACTTGATTCCTTTCTAAATCTAGCATTTAGTCTCGTGCTGTAAGAACATTGGTGACTGTCTGTTGAAATGCTAATGGTCCATGTCATGTTTATCGAAGTCGGCAGAGAGATCATGCATTCCAGGCATCTGTTGCTCCCAGAGACCAAGGCTAAAAAAATCAAACAAACATTCTGTCCTTGTGTTCCAAAAATACATCATATTACCGTTTTACAAGCATTGATTTTTAAATAATACCACTCACAAAACACCAGTGTATAAAACTGATCTTCTCTGTTGTATAACATAAAGGCAAATTTTACATAAGGAAAAAAAAAATTTACATACCCAATACTACAATTTATGAACAGGAAAAACAAACTGCTTGATTAATTTAAAGTGATACTAAAGTCAAAAGGTTTTTTAAACTATTTCAAATTCTGATTAACTCACTTACAATGGATGCTGCTCTTTGATGGTTAAAAGTTTCCGCTCCCTGCAGAATCAGCTGGTCCCCTGATATCCTGTTTTAGGGTGGCTCCTTTCCCTTGCAGGGTCCTATGGAGCCACCCTTGTGTGTGCTAGTAAGCTGTGTGCGTCTCCACATGGCAACACATGACAGCAGGGCAAGCTTCCTCCCTTTTCCCTTCTCCAACCTAGTACATGGACAGCTGCTGGAGACCTCTCTGTCCCTTATGACTTTGTACTGGACAGTAAGTTCAGGGAAGCCGAGCTGAGAATGTTTGAGCCAGCTGTTCAAAAACATGACTAAGTGCCTGAGGAAAGGAAAAAAATGTGAAGAAATACTTTGCAGGGCAATGTATATTTATAGTCGATCCATTCTTGAAAAAAAGAGGAGGTTAATACTACTTTACCTACTTCCTGTCTGCCCGTTGTAAATAAACGGACAGACGGTTCGCCGTATATGAACGGCAGTTTCTTTCTGCTCATGTGCGCCCCCTAGTGTGCGCATGAGCAGAATACAGCTACAGTTTTAAACAGCCGCTACCGGCAGTGCTAGCGTTCGGACAAGCGTTCGGGCAGCTCTACAGCCACCTGATCACTTGTATGGTGCCAAAGACTGTGCGCCCCCCATTTCCACCGCTAATGCCGGCAAACCCAGGCTGTGCTGTCGCTTGTTCGGACCTGGGACCAGCACAGCGGCTGCCTATACTGAGAATGGAGGAGAGATCAGCATCTTGCTGTACTCTCCTCCGATCTTTAAAAGGTGTTGGTGATGTGAATTATATCACTTCCGCCTTCAGCTGCCATTTCTCTGCTTCTTCAAATCCTTTGGGGGTCCCTGATGTCTCCATAAAGAGGACCTGTCATTGTATATTTGCCATTACATAGGGATATTTTTAACCCCACTATACGATAGCAATAAAGTTAAGTGAAAAACAGTTTTAAAAAAATTAAAAAAAGTCACATAACAAAAAAGGTAAAAATGTAAATGTGTTGGGTGCGCCTACATGCAAAACTAACCATTACACCACACGTTACATACCACCGTGAACGCCGGTGTGTGAGCAATAATTCTAGGGCTATTAGTCACTGGTAACACTAAACTGATGAGCGGTAAAAGCTTTTAAAGTGTCACTTGTGGGCAAATTTGGGTATGGTAGATTTTTGGCAATTCCGCGGTACCGCGCAATTTTAAGGCTTGACATGTTTGGTATCTTATATATTTTACCCAAAATTCGGGTAATAATAAATCTTTTATAACATAATGTAGAGAAAACAGTATTTAAAAAAAAAATTGGTCCTTTTTTCCGTTATATATTAAAAATAAAAACCCCAGTGGTGATTATGTAGCGCTCACTCCCTAAGGAGCCGCTGAATAACCAGATATTTCTATCCCCCTGCACCAATGTACCGCCCAAACCGTGGATCCACAGCACACCAACACACCTTGGAACAGTTTTATAACAAATTTACTGACATATCAGATATGAATGACTTTGATACAGTAAAAATTACAACAATACCCAACAATAATGTGTAGCAACAAGCTGAGGCACTCTGCAACTCAGTAACTGCAACTATCTGCTGTCAGCACGGATGTATGTGAGGCCAATTGTCTTTAAATGTTCTCTCTGTAATGAGGTGTATGCCCCTTTAAGACGTCCCTTTATCAATGCCCAACCCCTCCTAGACTACTGGCCAGTAGTAATGTCCTGAGCTAGCCGGCGTTGGGGCCCTTACTGTGGCGCAGGTATGAACAGCAAATAGGTTTTCAAGGTGGCCAGAGGCATCTCACCTATCCTCAGGTCAGTGTGCACAGATGAAACTGGTAGCAGATGCTGGAGATCCTCTATCCCTCTACAGCTCAGGCTCCGTAGGGGAAGTCGTTTCCGGTCCTTGATGAAAAGTCTTCAGTCATCCAGGATGTTTGCAGTCATCTCAGTTGGGCGGCTGGATTACTCCGGCGGCTGGTTCGGCCACGCAACTAGGCCTCCTCGTCTTTTACGGTCACCGCGTCACCGGACCCTCTTCAGGCACTCGATCGGGTCCCCTCCAATTCAGCGTCAGTCTCTCTGTACACCGCTGCACAGAGCCTGTGTGTCCCTGTATATCAGCGGTAACCACACAGCTCTGTCTCTCACAGTCTTAGTCCACCCATGGCTACACAGGTCTCTCCTCTTCAGATGATTGTCCCAGCCTGCTCGCGCCCAGCAGCCACCACACTTAAAACTCCTCCTTTCTCCTGCATAGCCTCCTGGGAGCTGTAGTTTCAGAGATCACTCTTGCACAATCCCAGTCTCTGCATACCCAACAATAATGTGTAGCAACAAGCTGAGGCACTCTGCAACTCAGTAACTGCAACTATCTGCTGTCAGCACGGATGTATGTGAGGCCAATAGCCTTTAAATGTTCTCTCTGTAATGAGGTGTATGCCCCTTTAAGACGTCCCTTTATCAATGCCCAACCCCTCCTAGACTACTGGCCAGTAGTAATGTCCTGAGCTAGCCGGCGTTGGGGCCCTTACTGTGGCGCAGGTATGAACAGCAAATAGGTTTTCAAGGTGGCCAGAGGCATCTCACCTATCCTCAGGTCAGTGTGCACAGATGAAACTGGTAGCAGATGCTGGAGATCCTCTATCCCTCTACAGCTCAGGCTCCGTAGGGGAAGTCGTTTCCGGTCCTTGATGAAAAGTCTTCAGTCATCCAGGATGTTTGCAGTCATCTCAGTTGGGCGGCTGGATTACTCCGGCGGCTGGTTCGGCCACGCAACTAGGCCTCCTCGTCTTTTACGGTCACCGCGTCACCGGACCCTCTTCAGGCACTCGATCGGGTCCCCTCCAATTCAGCGTCAGTCTCTCTGTACACCGCTGCACAGAGCCTGTGTGTCCCTGTATATCAGCGGTAACCACACAGCTCTGTCTCTCACAGTCTTAGTCCACCCATGGCTACACAGGTCTCTCCTCTTCAGATGATTGTCCCAGCCTGCTCGCGCCCAGCAGCCACCACACTTAAAACTCCTCCTTTCTCCTGCATAGCCTCCTGGGAGCTGTAGTTTCAGAGATCACTCTTGCACAATCCCAGTCTCTGCTCTGCACTCCAACTCCCATAAATCTCCGCCTCCAGGGCACGCAGAGGCCATTAACTATTCACAGTCAGGAACATGAATCACTGTGATCGCACATATATCTATATCTATAGGGGCTACAATTAAATACCATCAAAAGAAGCTCTATCTGTCCCTAAAAAAATGATATAAAATTAATTTCAGTACAGCATTGCATGAACAAATGTCAAAGTACTGCAGCGCTGAATACTGAAAATGGCCTGGACAGGAAAGGGGTTTAACACGCCTATAAAGGTGAATGTGTTCTGCTGCTCTGATCTATTCTATTGTTTCCCACTGTGCCATTCTCCTACAGAAACTCCCTTACCGAAAGTCCTGGGAGAGTTCTACATATAGTTACATAGTAGGAGAGGTTGAATAAAGACACAGGTCCATCCCAGTTCAACCTATGTGTGTATGTATGGCTTTTGACTTTCTGAAAAGTCCAAACTTGAACAAGGCCAATCATTTCCCTATCGTTCCACATGACAGCACTTAGGACTGGCAATTGCCACTCAGATACCAACCATTGAGATATAGTAAGGTGGGGAGAGTGTCACTTGTGCCCCTAACTGTATTCGGGGCTCTGGTTCCAAAATGGTGTAGTGGAGGACCACAGTGAGAGTTTACATATTACGCTGCTCAGATAAGTAAATCAATGCAGAATGCAGGCTTACTTTTAGATAATGGAACATTGAATTTGGCATCATATTCCAGGAATATATTTTGTTATTGGACTGGTATATGTACCATTAACTGTATTGCTGCCACCAATGCAAGGCTTACGTTGACAGTAGCAGAGACCCGTAAACAGAATCTCGGTTGCTATAGAGGAGGGAGCTTGTTTACATTTCTTTTGCAGGCTGTGAGCTTTTTACTAGAAGTGATTCGAGCAGCTGTAAAGCTAGTAA